TGCACCACCATGGTCCACAGGACCCCCTTTGAAGGCTTTGTTTGGCTTGGAAGCTGTGTTCCTGGAGGGTCAGGACATGGGCAGGAATGAGCCACCTTCAGCTCCTTTTACACGAAGTACTTCAGACCCTTATGAGTTCTACCTGACACCACCTACATTCCTGCCTGGTGGTTCCTGGACTGTACAGGGTCCAAAGTCACCCTGAAGTCTTGCCTTAAAATTGAGAGACGGGTCTCTCAGCACCTCACAAATAAGCAGACATTGTTTTCCTGATCATTCTTGACAAGGATGAAGGAAACACACTACCAGGATCGACAAGGGTAAGACTAGGCCCATGGGGACCTCGTCAATCTGTCCTTCAGTCCAGCAGCTTGACTCACAGACAGGGTCTAGGCGAATTATCCCTGGGTGCAGAAGTCTGCCCAGGCTCCACTTCTGATCCTGAGTGATCAGTTCATACACGTGCCCTTCACTGCGGCTGCGAGGAGGAAAACAAGACAATGAGTGTAGCCAGACACCAGGCTGTAATCCAGGAGGGGCCGTGGACGCGCCCAAGTGAATGCTTGTCACTAGACTTGCGTGCAGTCAGCGCCTGTGAGGCCCTCACTCAACCCTCCCAGCTGTGAGGTGACCAGAGCAGAGCCCTTGTGATCTGATCCCCTGGCCTTCAGCCTATTGGTAGAGCCCATTCAGAAGAAGGAGGAAGGCACGGGCACAACACGTAAAAGGAGCAGGTGCAATTTACACTTTCTTAGTTTTGTTCAGGTGTCAACATGACTCCTTTTGTAAGCAGAAAATGGGAATTTTGCAGTTATTAAACAGGAGCCAATCAGAAACGCTTGTGCTGAGCTGAGCAGGGAACAGTAGGGTGCTAAAGTATTGCTTAGGGGTCCTTGCCTTGTGGCCAGGAACGGCTGGAACTAGAGGCAGCCAGAGGGAGAGGCCCACTGGGGCCCAGGTCCTGGAAGGAGCAGGCTTGTTAGAAAGGTCATCCCAGCCGCGTGGGTCCCAAGGGAGCCCCGAACCCCAGTCCCCTCAGGAACGCTTACCTTGGGTCCCTCGCTGGTCTAGAAATGACGATTAGAACAAGACACTGCCCACTTCCACATAAAAGTGAACTCTCAAAAACCTGTTAATCCTGCCATTACTAAGGCAAACAGCGCTGAGGCACGCCCACCCCTCTCTACTGGAGTCAAGCTGGGGGCTTTCTGTGAGAACCACAGAAGGGAAGTGGCTGAGGTCTGGTTCCAACCGGGGCTAGCAGGGCCCAGGCTGTCCCATTTGCCGCACACTGGGGAGGGAAATGAGTCCGGTGTATTCCTGCCCACCTGGAAGCCGATGGGAAATCCCATAAAGCCCCTCGGGATACCTTTCTTTTCTCCCACGAACTTCTGCAAAAATCAATTTTGTTATCAAATTCACAGCATCCTGTGTGTGTTGTGAGCCCATAAGAGTTCCCGGTCCTCACCCTAGGAGGTCCAGAGTCTCTACTCTGGGCCACTGGCTCCAACACACATACTTGAGAACTTGGATTCTGAGTTCAAATCCTGGAGCTACCACGTACACACTGTGTGACCTTGGACAAGCCCTTCGGCCACCCTGATGCTCAGTTTCAGTCTGTGGAGCAGAGCAAGACTCCAGGCCGGGCGGTGGTGGCGCACGCCTTTAATCCCAGCACTCGGGAGGCAGAGGCAGGCGGATCTCTGTGAGTTCGAGACCAGCCCGGTCTACAAGAGCTAGTTCCAGGACAGGCTCCAAAACCACAGAGAAACCCTGTCTCGAAAAACGAAAAAAAAAAAGAAGAGCATGACTCCTACTCTGTCAGGCTTTGGCAGGTGAGGCAACACAAGCAAAGCCCTGAGCTCCATCCTGGGGAGTGTTGGCACTCGTTCTTATCACCGGGGTGGGTATGCCTGGCCACCCCACAGCGCAGGGAGTGCTTGTCTCTTTTGCATCTGCCACCTAAGGCCCTCACCCCTGGGCAGAGGGGCCTGATGATGAGGCTGAGGCTTAGTCACCATGTTCCCCTTCCTCCAAAGGTGTGAGCCTGACTGTGGTTCTGTTGCCCAGGTTCCTGAGAAGTCAAGATGGATCCTCAGCAGCAAGCAATCAAATGATGTGGAGTTGAGTCTTCAGCCCTGGTCCCCTCCCTGTGCACCGTGGCCTCTATCATTGGCATTTTCCAGGGTCACCACTAAAGAGCTGGGAAGATACCTCTGGGAAAATAAGAGTCCTGATGGGGAGGTGACAGTGACCCGACTCTCTAGTCGGTGGCTTTGGTGGTTTGGCCATATTTCAGCAGCCTCTGAATGACTAGTGATCTATTCTAGGGTCACCGGCTCTCACTTGACCTTTACTATGGCCCAGTGACAACACAGACACAGTCCGAATTGGATGGGACCAGTTTTACCTTCTTCTGCTCTCCATTCTCGGGGGAGGGGGGTACCTGAAGCTTGCAAGGTGGGTTGGCGGTATTGGAAATGAAGGCTCTAAGTGAAAATCTTCTTATGCCTCCCATCAGGAGTAATGCTGACAAGCTCTTAACTCAGACACACTGAGGCTTGAAACCTGGCTCAGCCTGTCATCAGCTGCGGCTGTGAGTTCAATACCACCCTCAAAGGCCACAGCATCCAACATCCAAAGGCTTTAAAGGAAGAAACTTGTCTGCTCAGAGAATTCTTTGTAAGACCCCCTGTTGCTTCCTGGAGCCACAAGGAGGCCCCGGGGGAGGTAGAAGCTGGGACACAAAGGGTGTGACACAAAAGGCACAAAGGGACCAGCCAGTGCCAGCATTAGTTTATGACAAGGAAGGTGGCCCCCGAGCCTGGAGGATGCAGCAGCGTGTCACCATAAAAGAGGCCTCACCTGGGAAAGAGAGACACTGTCTTTTGGGAGTCCTGATGACCTCTGACACCCTCCTCAAGCCCCAGCCAGTCACACCCAGATAGGACAAATAATGGGGGTGTAGGGCAAGTTAGCCCCGAAGACGGGGAGGTCCCCACCGGGGTATTCTGATGCCCTGCTTGAACCCTGAGGGGATGACATGGTGGGATTTACAGAAAATGAAATACAGGCCATTTTAACTTGTTCTACCAGTTTTTACTCCTTTCTGTTAATAAAAAGAAGAAGAAGAAAAGAAAAGTCATTTAACTGTTTTATAGCTCCAGGTTCCCCTCACAGAGACAAAGGGCTTTAGGGGAGTTGCTCTCACTAAAGAACCCTGCGAGCTTTAGAAATTCCCCTTTCCCTGTGCCCAACACTGTAGCAAACAGCTTCCACCATGCCCTTATTCCTCCGTCAGGTGGGGCAGCTGAGGTCCGGGGCAGCAAAGAGACTGGCTAGGAGAGAACTGGGATTTGGGCAAGGCTCCCAGGCTCTGCAGACCCTTGACTGCAGCCTGCCGTGATCCCACGCACAAACCTACCTGAGTTCCCTCGGGAAGGGACCCAGTCTGAGGGGCCTTCCCACCTTCTGTGGAGCCAGGTAGTTTCCCAGAAGACCTAAGTGGCCACCTTGGAGTACTCCTACTTCGTGCTTCTGTCCGGGGTAAGGTGCCAGCTGCAGGCATGGAGAGTGGGGTGTGCTTGCCTGGCAGTTGCTGTCCCATCCGGTGGCCACTGGCCTTTCTCGCCCTGTGCCGCCGGACCCTTCACGCCACTGTTTCTGTCTCTGTGACTGCCTGAAGAATGGTCTGTCCCTGCCACTCTAGGTTCCTTTCTCCAACTCAGACCTCCTGTGAAGTTCGGCTTCTTCCTCCTGGCCTTGACCTATTTCTGGGTTCTCTGAGATCCTGCCAGGTAACCTCACAAGGCATCCCGAGGAGCAAGAAGGTGCTTGGGATGTTGCGGGCAGGAAGGGTTCTGAAGCCAGGGCTTTCCTGGGAATGGACAAGGCGGTCAATCCTCTGGAAAGTCCAGCAGTGTGAATCCCAGGCTTGTTTTTGCTTTTGAAATTTCTTTAACCCAGGACTTTGATTTTCTATCCCCCACGCGTTTCTGTGGTAACCTTGTGTTTATCAACTGAAGTCCTTCCTGCTTCGGAGGGCTGAAACACCAGCCTCATGTCTGACCAGTCAAATCCTTAGGGAGAACATAGCAGAGAGGGAGATTTTTCTTAAGATATGGTACGAACACTCCTGGAAAATAAGAATTTTCCAGAATTTTGGAATAGGGATAGAATTTGGAATAACCAGCAGGCAAGCTTTGCCAACAGCCCCTCCCCCAGACCTCAGCCTCAATGCCCGCACATGCCTTAGCCAGAGCTGATTTGTAGTGGGGAGTTAACCCAAGTCCCAGCATTAGCGAGTGGATGAGCGGTAGCTGTGGACGGACAAACACTGTGAATTAGTGGCGAGTGAATCAGCCAACTGGACAATGAGAAGGCCCTCCAAGCCCTTCCCGGACTCCACGCTATGCCATCTTCTGTGGCTACCTATGTTTCTTCTCCAGACCTTCTGCGGTCAGCTCTGGGAAGGCTCCTCACCGTGTCCACGGTGAAGCCCATGCCTGGGCCAATGCTGAAGCTCTGCCCATGAAGCTGAAGCCCCACCCCCACCCCATCCTCACTCTGAGATGCCTCCATTTTCTCCTGTACTTGAACTACTTCAGAATTCTCTCAGATCATCTCAGGGAAGCCACAAACACCCTCTGAGGAATGCCCGAGGTAGTCCTGTGCTCCTCACTCTGGTCACAGGGACACTTTCTGTTCTCCCTCTCTTCCTGCCTTTTCTGAATCTACCCCCCTTTGCCTCAATTTCCCCTCTGTTTCCAGTGCTGCTAAAACCATCCATGATTTGCAGGCTCAGCCCCTCCCCATGTGAAAGGATGAAGCCTGGCACAAAAAGAGGACGTTCAGCGTGAGTCCATGTATATGAAGGCTAAGGAGAGGCAAAACTGATTAGGTATGGTAGCAAACACCCATAATCTCAGCAGTCGGGAAGCAGAGGCAAGAGGGTTGCAAGTTCAAGGCCAGCCTGAGCAGCAAGATTCTTAAAAAATGGAGTGCTCACTTTGACAGCTCATCTACTAAAACTGGGATGATACAGAGATGATTAGTGTGTCCCCTGTGCCAGGAAGACATGTAAACTTATAAAGCTGAAGATTTGGGCTGGGTGTGGTGTGCATGCCTTTAACTCCACTTGGGAGGTAGAAACAGGCGATTCCTGTAAATTTGAGGCCACTCTGGTCCACATTGTGAGTTCCAGACCGGCCAGGGCTACACAGTGGGACCCTGTCAAGAAATAGATTAAAAAGATAGCACAAAATCAATCCATCAGGCAAAGATCAGAACTGCGGTTCCTTCTGGGGTATAGCAATTAGCTCAAAGGGGCTCAAAGAGGCGGGGCTTTGGGCAGTATAGGAAGAGTCTAGATCTCGATTCTGGTAGTGATTGCATGGTTGGATTCATCTGCCAAAGTTTATTGCTCTCCACTTCAAAGATCTATCCATTTCTCCTAGTATGAATTTAAAAATAAAAATCTTCCTACCTAGACTTCCCTGGCAGGAATTCACTCTCCTGTCTCTTTAGTCTGCCAAAGCGTTCTGTCCACGCAGAAGTTTCCCTGCAGGAGCGAGCAGAGAGACTACGGCTTTGTTATGAGGCTTGAAATAACGTGGTGACAGCAGAGGCCAACTATTACTGCCGCAAGTTCTGGTGGCCAGGTGACCCCGGTGCTGCTGTACTCTGGCCAGCATTTGCAACCTATGGTTTCTCCACTGGACAATGGGGTTGCCCATACCTCAGTTTACCCGTTCACATGGGCAACATCAATCCAGTACTTGGTTATTGTGCGCAGGGCTTTGGCCATATTCACCTGCTGTTTCTGTCTCTCATCCTCTCCTTCCCTGGTCTTCCTCCCCTTCCCTAAGGATGGATACTTTCCGTACATGAAATCAAAGTGCCCTGCAGAATGAGGAGACCCAGTTCCTCTCCCTGCAGCCCTGACCCCCACACCATCATTGCTCATTTTAAAGCAGTTCTGCTTAGCAATGGAATCTCCTGAGGAGAAGCTGTGCGCTCCCCGGGGAGAGGGTAGCAGGCGGAGGTTCTCTTATTCCTGTGTATCTCTCATGCCTCAGAATTTCCGTCCTCAGCAGACACCCAAGAAGTGTTCAGGCTCCATCTTGGGAGCCGCACGTGACTTCTTCAGTGTCCATACACAGTCGATTCTCAGTAAACCCAAAACCTCCCCAGCCAAGAATTGCTCCTGGATGAAACGCAGAGAGTCTGTGCCCAGGAAGCCAAGGCTTGGCAGAGGCACCGCCTTGCCAGGCAGAGGATGAAGCGCAGCGATAGCTGAGCCCCCAGACTGGGTTTGGCGGGTTGTCTACCCACATAAAACTCAGGAAAGCTCTGGGACGGGATGCCTGGGTCTTACACTGTCACCATTTTGGCTGTTGTACCGGACTTGTTGCTTCAGTCTTTAGACATGGTTTCCCCCCAGTCCATCAGATGTGACAGTCACCTAGTTCTGCTTCTGTGCCCCTCCCAGCATTCCTGGATGACTTATGAAACCCCCTGCCCATTCTGGGGACCGGTTTACATGGTGTCCGAGGAGATGGCCTATCTCAGTTCGAAATCCTTGCTGTCACTGAGGCATTGATTCTGAACTGCTGGCCACACCGTCTGGGCAAAGGACCCTGCGTGTCCATGAAGATTTTTTTTGTCACCCCTTGGGAGGTAGGAAGCAAGCAAAGATGTTAAACAACTAGGAAAATGAAAACCTGGACTCGATCCCAGGACTTCCTGACTCAGGACTATTTTCCAAGCCCTGAGATGTTGGAGCTGGGAATAGGCTGTCTGGTCTAGTTTCCTCGCCTGGCCCAGGGACAGTGAACAGCAGGTTGGTGACGGCAGAGTCCTGGCCTCTCAGAGCAGCTCAGGGACTAGCCCCCGGGTCGGGAGGCAACAAAGCCTCTCGTGTAGCTGCCCTTGGGAGGGGAGCCCAGGAGCTTCTGGGTGCTGCAGCCCAAGGAGCCAGCCATGCAGCACGGCCCAGGCCAGGTGCCAGCTGACGGCACTGTCATCGGCCGCTCCAATTATTCCCTTTGTCTGATAATTCCAGCCATGGGTCCCCTCCCAGGGGGAAGTCATCTACCCACTCTTGCCCGAACTTGTCCTCTCTGTGGCTCCCCTAGGTGCCGAGTGACTCTCAGAATGACTGCTCCTCCCAGACTCTGCCCCTCACCTCACACATCAGGACCACTTTTGGGTGGGGTAAGCTGAACTAAGGCTCTAGGAGGAAGGGTCCCCACTCCCTCAGGGTCACTTTTGGGTGGGGTAAGTTAAGTAGGGCTCTAGGAGGAAGACTCCCCACTTCCTCTGTTTTCTTTTAGGAGTTCTCTCTTTTTTTAAAGGGCAAAATTTTATTTAACCAAATTTATAAAAAAGAATTCCAAAGTGTATGACTATAAATGATGAATTGGGTGCTTTATACTCTTTTTTGTATACATCTCAAATCTGCAGTTTGCATTGCGACACCCCTCAGTGGAATACTGTGGTTTCAAGAGACAGAAACCAAGCCATGGAAGCAGCCAGGCAGGGATGGACAGGCACAGATGTCCATCTGTTGATGAATAAGTCAGTGAACCAAAGCTGATATGCCCATTCTTTTGGAATGTTAAGACAGGCACATGGAGCTGGAGAGATGACTTAGTGGTTAAGAGCACTGACTGCTCTTCCAGAGGACCCGGGTTCAGTTCCCAGCACCCACACGAAAGCTCAGGATTGTCCGTAACTCCAGTTCCAGAGGACCCGACACCCATGACAATCAACACACATAGTAAAAGTAAACTTAAAAAAAAAAAAAGACAGGCACAGACAGGAGTAAAGATCAACAGAACCTTGGAGACTTACTAGTCAGGCTGGTGGTGTAGCTCAGTTGGCGGACTGCTAGCCTAGCACTCATGAAGCCCTGGGTTCAATTCCCCAGCACAGCATAAAAACCAGGAGTAATGGCGCTTGCTTGTAAGCCCAACGCAGAGGAGGCAGAGACAAGAAGATCAGAAGTTCAAGGTCATCCCCAGCTACGTAGAGTTTGGGGATAGCCTAGCCGATATCATGAGACCCTGTGTCAAGAGAAGGGAAGGAAATAAAGAAAGAAAGCTAAGTGGAAAAAAGACAGATACCAGAGTGAGTTCTAGAACAGCCAAGATGGTTACACAGAGAAACCCTGTATGGAAAATCCAAAAACCCAAAATACAAAACAAACCAAAAAACCAAAAAAAAAAAAAAACCCACCCCAAAACAAACACAGATTGAATGATGTGATGATGTTGCCCCTCCCCCTCCTCCTCTTCTTCTTCTTGTTTTTTTTAAAGCAGAATTTCTCTGTGTAGCCGTGGTGTCCTAGAATTCATTCTGGAGACTAGATTGGCTTCAATCTCAGGGATCCACCTGCTTCTGCCTCCCAAGGGATTAAAGTCACTACTGCCAGGCTATGAACTGTTGTTTGTTTGTTTATTTAGGGTTTTTGTTTTGCTTTTTTGTCTTTTTTAATCAGGTAGCCATGGCTGTCCCGGAACTAGTTCTGTAGTCCAGGCTGGCTTAGAACTCAGAGTGCAGACTAGGGAAATCTGTAGAGACGGGAGCGAGACTGGTGGCTCTAGGAGCTTGGGTGGGGAGGGCATTGCAATGACTGTCTGCAGCAGTGGGGTTTCCTTGGGGTTTGGAGTTAGACTGTGATGGCGGCTTCACAACCTGGGGGCTCTACCAAGGCTACCGATCTCTGCTTTAAAGCAGTGAGTTTAGGACATGGATTATGTCTCAAGGGACAAGACAACACCAGTACTGTCAGAACAATAAAGATGTGTTATGCCTATTTGATTTCCAAATTGAAATGTAAATTCTTTAAGAAAAATGTAAAATTTAGGTCCTCAGATACAATAAGTATACGCAAGTGATAGCCACACGTGGCCGGTGGCTTCAGTACGGTGCAGCAGAGCTCCAAGGTTCTGAGAGGACATCCCTGGTCACCCCCAGGCAAATCCCATAGGGGCAGGAGACAGGCTGGCCCTAGGACCAGGAAACAAGCTGCTTCTCAAAGGGCCCGTTTCCTCCCCTCATGGTGTGGGTCTTCACGCCAGTCTTATCATTTCTTTCTATCAACAATTCTGTCTTGTGAGTAAAAAAATTCATGCTATGGAGGGAATCTTTATTAAACAGAATAAAGCTTCCTCTTTGTGGTGGGTTTTGATCTACCACTGAGCTACAGAGCAATCACAAAACATGGTCCACAGAGATTATTTCAAGACCTGTTTGCCCACAGTCTGGTCATTCATCCTCCTCACCATCCAAAGTAGTGGGCACCTACCTAGGTTCCCTTTGCCCAAGTCCACACAATTCAATGACGAACTGGGGCATGGATCCCGACTGGCCAAAAAAGACATTTTCTTTTGCTTGAACCCACCGCAGGCCTGGGCCTGACACAGACGCTGACAGATTGCTGAGCGTGGCTCTTCTGGAACTCCTGGTCTGTCCCTGTTTTGCGAGGTAATTTATCTTCTTCTCTGGTGTTAGGGGACTGGGTGCTGGGCACCCAGCTCAGTGGTGTCACTATACAGGCTGCTTGTGCCTCAGTTTACCTGATTGCCCTTTTCGAGAGCCAGGTGCAATCGCTTTTGCCAGCAGAGAGCTGGCAGATTTCCCCAAAGGCTCTTGTTAGCAGTGAGCTGAGGGTGGGTCCCCAGTGTTGCCCAACCCTCTTCCTCATCCAAGGCTTACTTGGGGTGGAAGTGTCCTAGCTGTCACCTCCCTCTGCAGCCTGAGGCCTCTCAGTCCAAAATGCAGCCCACAAAAAAGGAACCTGGGCTGTGTGGGCAGGAGGGAGGCACAGGGGACAGGGAAGGTTCAATCCAGGTTCTTGTTGGCTCCTGCCGGGGGACAGGTGAAGACCAGAAGAGAGCATGCTGACGGCATCTTGCCGTCCTGGGGTCAGATCTCTGCAATGTTGGGCAGGCACAGGCTCAGCAGCACATTGCTGTCAACAAAACCCTCTCTGGGAACTGCACAGCGATTCTAGTAGCAGGGCCTCTGGGGACAGAGAGGAGGCAAAGGGAGGGCAAATATTTTGTGGCCATGGAAAGGCGGCCACTTCTTCCCCACGT